CATGGGGGTCTATTACGGGTCCTATTTCGATAATCTGAATCGTGCAATGTGTACAACTCATCGAATATTATATGTCTGTAAAAAATTACGTTGATCGGATATCGATACCTACATGATCAAATCAGCTTTGTATAAAAAAATAGACGGTGAAAAAATAAACGGTTGACAGAAATCTGATCCGATGAAATAGTTATCGATATCTGATCAATGTGATATTTTACAAGTATATATAGTACTCGACGAGTTCTACATATTGAACGGTTCGGATTATCAAAACGAAACCTATGATGAACTCTTACAAATTTAACAATACCCAATAATTCGATCATGGACCGAAGAAGAGCTCAATCCTTCTTTAAAAAATTTCCTTCAATTCCATGAGCATGTTTTGTAACATTTCTTTAAAAACTTTCCTTCAATTCTATGATCATGCGTCACTTTCACCGTACTCTATTTTATTTATTCTTGCTCTAATTTTGTAAGTCATATACTGTAATTGATTAGAGAATTTAGAAAATATATATATATATATATATATGTAAAATATGAATAAAATATATCAACATTTCATAATTTCACACATTTTCCTCTTTGTTTTTTAAATCTCTTCTCAAATCCCTCAATCAAACACAACATTAATGCTTCTAATCTCTCCATCATTATAAGTAATAAACCTAAATTTGTCACTATACAAATATCTCTTATCAAATTTTAGTATATTTTTTCACCCACATTTCTAGTTTTGCAATAGTTACATTTCATTTATTTATCTTAGTTGTACCTAATCTTCTTTTTTTTAAAAAAAAAATTTTTAAAGTTTCTCTCAATAAAACTATAACATCTACAAATAATATATTCTAGGAGAAATCTTTTTAAATGTTCTTACTATGTTCATTCACAGTTAATAATTATTTTAAATGATTATAGGGAGATAAAAAATGTAATAAAATCTAGGTAAATTATAAAATAAAAAAATCCCAAGATTTGAGTTTTATATAACAAAATAAACCTTGAGATTTTAATTTTGTCAATTTAAACTCTAAATTTTTTATTTTTTTTCAATTTAAACCATTTATCTATTTTTATTAAGTAAAATTGATGAAAAAAATGAGTATTTTAGTCATTAAATTCAATAAAAAGTATATTTTAAATATTTTATGTATATCTACATTGAATTTAATGACTAAAATCCTATTTTTTTTCATTGATTTTACTTAACGAAAATAGGTGAATGGTTTAAATTAAAAAGAAATTAAAAAATATAATTTAAATTAATAAAATTAAAAATTAAAAATTTATTTTATTATAAGACCCAAATCTTTAAAAAAAAAATTACAATTGTTCCTAAAATTTAAATAATTATTTTTTATCATTGAATTGAGAAAGGAAGCTATTGGGAGAGGAATTATTGGAAAATGAGTGGGAGCTCTGATTAGAGCTATCATTAATGATGTGGTAGTAGTTCTCACTCACTGTCACTATATGTGTTGTGTTTGTTTGTTTATTTTTTTTATTTTTTATTTATTTTTTTTGTTTATATTTTTTCACCGCATTAGTGGTGAGTTTAAAACCATCAAATGTCCCGGAATTATTTATACCAAGGAGCACAAATTGAGGGCACGTGATTGATGTAAAATGGAAGAGTACGGCAATGATCGCAGAAGCAGTACATTTATTTATGTTTGAAAATGTATCATGTATTAGAACATAACAATTTGGGAACCATTAATACATAATACATAAATATAGTACATTTTGTGGTCCATTTACAATAAGTAATATGATACATCTAGAAACCTTGAACTTTCATTAATTTGACCATAGCTAAATCTTACATTTAAACAAGAATGTTCCGTAATTAAAATTTCAGGTCCTTGCACACCCCAAACATTATCTCTTTCTAAAATATTTGGTGAGCAAATTGATGAAAATAAAATAATAAAAAAATACATTTTGATTACTTGTGAGGCTTAGGATTTTCTCACATTTTAATTTAAAAAAAATGATTAATCCACCGAATATAGAATACCTGACTCTAGCCGAATGGCTCAATGGTTCTTACGCTAAATGATCGGCCAGTCAATTGTTTAGATAACCGATATCACTCTTATCAACTACAGTTGTCCCTCTTAACCGACTATATGACGTTTCAGATGATCAATGTGTCAATTAACATCCATCTGAATGATCGGCGTCACCCTTATCAACCGTGATTGTCATCTTTAACTAGCTAAATAAACTTTCAAATGATCGATATATCAATTGATATGCACCTCATTTGAACCATTCGAACAAATCCAAATTCAATGAAACATTACTCTTAACTTTATAACTTCTTAAACTAATTACATATTTTTGACTTTTTGTTCATTGTGTGTTGCTTTTTCTTTTTCTCCCACTGGCCACTTGTGATGGTCGGTGAAATAGCCCAATCAAAACTTTAGTTGAACCATTAATGCTTGTCATGGAATTATATGAGACAAAAAAAAAGTACTACACTAGTGGAAAAAATTATTATAACAGTAATATATGGACATATAAAAAAGGATTTTTTTTAAGTGTGCAATTTACATCTTACACTTACATCTTTTTATTTGTTGTCCTGTTTTATGTTTATATCTTCCATTTATACTTTTTGTGTTAGTTGTATATGGTGTACAACCTTAAGGGGTTACACACAGTATCCTATAAAAAAAATTACTACAACAGTAATATATGGACATATAATATCATCATTTAATAATAAATTATTGAAAAGGTGTAATACATCCCCTATGTGTGAGTTAGTAGGCTGAATCAGATAAAGTAGTAATATTTAAAAAGTGAAATTCACCATCTATGTGGTGTTTTTTTATTGATGGTAATTTCTTGTGTCGTGCTTTTTTATTGGTTGTTTTCATATCATTTGGGATGAATATATACTACAACTAAATAAAACAGTTTTTCTGCTCATATAAAAATTAACAGTAAAATCTCAAGACACACCTCATATAAGAAATTTGTGTTTAATTATGTTATTAGTTTTTGTTTTCCTAAAATGTTTTTTAACTAAAATTGAATTGAGGAATCACTTGTCTAGTAGTCGAATCTGTGATGAATTTTTATGTTTCTCAAGGCCTTTGCCTAGTAATTTTTCTATAAGAATGAAATTAGAGATGATATACACTTAAAAATTAGTCAGGACAAAGCCAAAATAGCCTTATTACCCCCATCCCAACAAGAAAAGGGTTAAATATGATAATGCTAATTATCAAAATACCCTTATAGCCAAGATTCTTGTACATATTTTATTGGATAAATAAAAAAAGTCATAGAGATTTAAAAAAAAATTATAATAAATCTCACGAATTAGGTATAATTATGTTAGATTCATATAAGGTGTGGCCTTGTCTGGAAATGTGAGATTTTAGCTAAAATATTAAAAAATTATTGTAAATTGTCACATCACTTTCTTTATTTTGCTCCACATCTTTTGGTAAAAGCTAAAAAATTAACTAAAATCACTAAACAAGCTAGTTCAATTTTTATCAATAATTCTTAAGTCATATGAATGAAAAAGTAATGTTATATAATTTATGTTGAAATATATATATATTACCTTATGTATTGTATTTTTACACTATCTATATTAATTTTGATTATTTTAACCTTATCAAAAAAAATCAATATAATTATATTAACTGTAAGACTCTTCGTATTTTTTTTTAAATTACATAATTATATTAACAGTTTTTGATGATGTTAGAAATATGTTTTAATTAATAATTTAGATAATTTTATTATTATATAAGAAAGTAATTATGAATTTTATTTTTTTAATTAATTTTGTTAAATAAAATTTTTTAATAAATGAGTATTTAAAAATTTTCAAATTATAAAAAATAATTTATAATTTAAATAAATTTAAAAAAGGAAAATGTACTGATAAATTCTAATTCCAGAAATGTTGCTCCAATTAGTCCTTAATGTTTTCTTATGAACCGTTCAATCCTATTTGATTTGAGAGGAATATTTGTATTTGATTTGGTATGTTTAGATTTAACATTTGTACCCTTCTGATGTGGGATTGCGTAGCTGTTGGTTTACTGATGTCGCCACGTTTGTTGGGGGAACGTATATGTACATTACTTTTTTTCCGTAGATAGTTGGAGTGATTTATGGGGAGTTTGTTTCGTTTTGGTTGATGTGTTTGCAGAGGGGTTTTGAAGGTTTTTGTGTATTTTGTTCATTCATACCTCTATTGCAGTGTTGAGGTTGTCATTTGGATGTGTACATCGCCGATTGCTGTAACTCACAATTTCTAATTAAGGTTTTTTTATGCAGGTATGGAGGGTGCTGTCTTGATGTTATGTTCTTACGGACGAACGAACACTGTCATTCATCTTCATCAAGCGTTGACGTTCGCGGATTTGATCAGTGGGATATGCGGGAAGTTTGAAGGGTTGGACTCCGAGATGGTCGTCTTATTCATCGAAGTTCCTGGATATAACAAGTTCTGTGTCTTGTGCGATGAGGATGTTCGGAATATGTTTTCTCTTGCGAAGTCTTTTGGTCTCAATCATGTCGATGTCATTATTCAATTACGAAATGGGGGGGACGGGGGCAATCTTGGTGACGGAGTGTGTATGGCTGACGCCGGCAGCAAGGCCCCGGGATATGGGATGTTTGAATTGGATGACCGAACGGATCTGTTACAGTCGTATTGTCAGCATAGGTCCAAGACATACCTGCCGGCTGGGTGGGCAAGCGACGTTACAAATGTGGGTCAGTGTTTTATTGGTGGGGCTGATGAATTTTGGACCATCGTTTCCAAATAAGCTATCGAGTGTGGGTTTCAGTTCAAATACGTGAAGAATGATTCGGTGCGTGTTACAGCTGTTTGTAAGTTTGCAGGGTCAACGGGGTGTTCGTGGTCGGTACATGCCAGGGTGTTCGCATCCAATGATGTTTTTTGTCTGAAGAGGTTTAGTAGTGTACACACGTGTGGTGCTATTGTTCGTATGTCTAGGAACCCATGTATTGGGTCTGATTTGGTGGCCGATGTTGTTGCGGATCGTGTGCGTGCTCAGCCATTGACACGGCCCACTAACGTCGTTTTTGGTTTGAAAAATGATTACGACATGCATATTACTTACCGTGTTGCTTGGCTTGGTGTTGAGAAAGCGGGGAGTGAAGTATATGATGACCACGTTATGTCCTTCGATCAGCTTAGATGGTACAGTGATGCTGTGATGGAAAATAACCCAAACGGCTATATCAACCTTGATTTTCAGCAGCAAACCGGAAGATTTGTTTGGTATTTCATATCATTTCGCACTTACATAAATGGATTCAAGCATTGTCGCCCATTGTTATTTCTTGACGATACTTTTCTCAAGGGCCGGTTCAAGGGGAATTTACTTGCGGCTACTGCGATGGATGGAAACCAAGGTAATGTGTTTCGCGTCTTCAAATTGGTTACATTCAATTGCACTGCTATCTTTAAATATGTGTTCAAATAAGGGTAATGTGTTTTGGGGGTGATGATAGATTGGTTGTGTATAATGTATATATACATATACATATTGCTATATAATGTCACACAATCTGTCGTGTTTTCAAATAGTTACTAGTGGGTTTTTTTTTTATTAATTTCGGTCTTTCCGTTAGGGAGTTAATGGAGCTGGGTTGTGGGGAAACTATATACATATATAGTTTTTTTAATATCACACAATCTGTCATGATCCATTTGGTTTTTGGTTGTTGTTTTTCCTATGGTTCGGTGGGCTCAATGCATGGGTTTTGTGTGGATGTGGTGTTGTTTTTTATCGCCATACCAAATGAAAACAGGTTTGTTCCCAGTCGCGTTTGCCATTGTTGATTCTGAAAACGCAGCAAATTGGGAGTGGTTTCTTCGACAATTGTCAGAGGTTGTTGATCATGGTCGAAATTTGACATTTGTTTCCGATCGTCACATTGGGTTGTTACAATCCATGTCAAAATTTTTTCTATTGGCACATCATGCGTTTTGCCTCATACATCTTCAAATGAATTTGAGAGACCGAATGAAATACGTTAATGCCAAGCAGAAGTTAGGACTGATGCGCAAGTTACGCGAATGTGCGTACGTACCCACCGTCACTTCCTTCAACCTGAAAATTGAGGTCTTGAAATTGTGTAGTCCGGTTGTTGTTGGGGAGTTTCTGAAAGATTTGGATCCAAAACATTGGGCCAATACGCACTTCGGGTATGTATATGTTTTAATTTTTTGTTTGTTACATTTTTTTGGACCCCCACTAAATGTTTGTAGTTGATTGTATTGTGGGCAGTGGTAGGCGGTATGGGGAGATGTCGTCAAACGCTGCCGAGTCGTTCAATAACTGGATTCGCGAAGCGCGCCACCTTCCTATTATGCAGTTGGTTGATGCTATTAGGGGTCAAACTATGGAGCAAATGTTGAAGCGTCAGGTGAAAGGTAACAAATGGGTTGGCCAACTTTGTCCAAAGATAGAGAAGAAGTTGGAAGCCGAATACAAAACTAGCAAGCCATGGATTGTAAGCCAAGCCGATGAAAATGTGTATGAGGTGCACTCGCATCCGTCAGTTTTAGTTGACGTCAACAGGCGTACTTGTTCATGTTGTTAGTGGCAGGTGAAAAGGTTTCCGTGTTCACACGCAGTGGTCTCATTTCAGAATAGCGGGAGAAATATATATGATTCCATTGAACCTTATTACCATGTTTCCGAGTTCAAGGCATCATATTCTGAGTCCATTCACTCTATTCCAACAGTTGAGAAACCCATCGCCACGCCCATTGATTACCTCATAGCACCACCCGTTGTTAAGCGTTCATCTGGGAGGCCAAAGCGGAAGAGGATTCCATCTAGGGGGGAGGTGGTGCAACGTATTCGGTGTGGACGATGTGGGAAGATGGGCAACCACAACATGAAGACATTCAAGGAACCGATTTAGATACGGGAGGACATACAAGGAACCGATCTACATCCCAAGTCAATTTATCATTGCACTAGCCATTGAATCATTTTCATAAATCGTCCTTATAATTTGTAATGAAATTTTTAAATGTTTGGAGTACAATTAGTAAACATGTTGGCGATGAATTAGGGAGAAGCAAAATTATTTGCACCCACATTTATTATCTTTATATTTTCAGCCTTGTTTTTACGTTTTTCCCATTTTGTGATAAATAATCATGTTTGTTTACTGGTCGTTTTTCAAAATGATCTCACTTGCAATTTGTATTTTGTCTCTCGGGGGATTGTTTTCTGAACGTTTGATTACAGAACAAATTTTTAAAAAATTGGTCAATGGTTTTTATAGCATTATTGAAAGGTTATGTAAAAATCACCCAGTTTCGAATTTGAATGTAACTCACCCTATTATTCAACTAATTGAATGCTTCAAAAATTGAATCTAATTTATTTGCAGACAAACACCCTTAAGTGTCTGTCCTCATTGATTGTTACTGTCTTCATTGTCAACCTACCAATCATTGATGCCAAAATGTTAAAACTCAACACAATGGAAAAAAAAAAAGAAAAAAAGAAAAACAAACTAATGAACACACATGTAACAATCAAAAATGAATGTTACTAATAGCTAAAAATGTAAATATATCATGGGTTTTATAGCGTTATTGGTGTAAGCCTTTTCTTCCAATGATTCATTGCAGTCTGGTAAACTTCTCACACTTGCCATTTGGTGGGAATGCCTTTTTATTGAGATACTGTGGTAAAATGAAATGGTCCTGAATTAAATTACCATGCATGCATTACATTAGTTTGTTTGTATTTTGCTATTGCTGGGTCATTACGTTACGCATTTCCCTTGCTACATTCCTTCATGACGTTTTTATGTGTGGGTACTGCAATCAAGTCTAACCAATGCATTTATTTGCCGTTGGCACCAATGTCATTTATGTCTGCACCACAAATGTCACAACTGCCTTATACCATCAATTGGCTAATTGCCATAATTGTCTAACACCATCAAAACCTGTGTGAGTACTGAAGTCATCATTGTAACACAATTGTCTTATACCATCACATGCTTATTCGTTATTAAAATGCATAACATACCATCAATTGCCTAATTGCCATCAATTGCATAATTGCCACAATTGCCTAATACCATCAATTCCTGTGTGGGTACTGATGTTAACATTGCACCAACATTCCCATCTCGCACTTATTCATTATTCCAATGCATACAACACCATCAAAACACAATATTTAAGTGACTACCATTTCAACACACAGCCTGAAAAACAGAATCCCAAACATGTTTCAAGGATTTGTAGGAATTAAACACTATGTTTGTACAACAATGTCCTACCAAACATAATATGTACGTCCCCAAAAGTTATAACCAAGTTCAGCAGCTACTATTTTGTTAAAAAAAAAACATTAACTAGTAATAACTTAAATAAACTGTCTGCATTTTGTTGTCCCGCATCGACTCCAAAATGATTTACTCATCTACTTTTCATTTTGGTGGTACGTGCGTCATATGGCCCTGTAGCGTAGCCCTCTGATTGGATCATTCACAAATGTCTTCACCATTGATGCACGGTAAGCAGTAGTCGTCACGCCATCCATAGTAGTATTAATTCCCACCTTCTACACATATTGTCTCATGAGGAAGCACACTATCATCGCACAGTCAGCCCTGGAACACAATACAACTCACTTCGCTTTGTCAGAAATTACAAATTGTACTCCCTAATAAATATGTTTGTCATAAATATTCGTAGCACTTACATGTTAGCCGCTTGCTGAGGGCAATCCATAACAGATTCCAACGTCCCGTCGATATATGGAGGTGCCACATTTGTTGTCCTTGCACCAACGCCCACAATGCGGTTATCATATTTCACCACCCACTGTTTCTGGCAAAGTGACAATTAACATTCAAGTTACTCTTAAATGTACACCAATAAAATGAATGCAAAACACCAATTTGATGCGGACACTTTAAGCTTAAAAAATTTCACAATCGTCAACCACATTCAGAATCATTCCAATTCATGTAACCACATACGTTACATCCTAATTTGTAGACATTTCCAGCCTACCACATAAGATACTTACACATTACAGTTTTGCAATACAGAGGTGTACGAACCACTTTAAGCACCTTGGTGAAATGAGTGTCACGTAGGCCACGTCTCTGCCTAATTGAATTATAGTGTTTCCAGTTCCCACTTTTGTTATCGTACACCATTAGCGTCCAGTGGTTGTCGTGGTAAATTGGGTAATGAATGGACCGGTGTCCTGATGCGGATTTCATGTTCACCTCTCAGAACTTATCTCTTGACGTCTCATTCGAATTTCGCATCATGTCCTGCCATTTTAACTTTAAATTTGTTAGTATCATCCAACACACAAGACCATACCATCTACAGCAGCTTGTCAATTCATACCGCACAAATGCTGCTAAAAAAATAACAGCTGTCCACATTGTTGTCTTCATCAGCACAATTCCGTTGCAAATCTGTTAGGATTGCTACATACGCATCGATTACCTACCAACAATAATTTGCACACTGTCAAAATACATACTAACATCCAAAATATATTACAGAATATAGTACACAACTTCCCCCCCACCCAACCCAAGGTTATTACAACACTAACCTTCCCGCTTACACATGATTATTAGACCAATGCTTGAATATCAGAAAAGTAGACACACATCCCATTGTCTTCACCATCCTAGATAACAGCCTTGCATTTTTTAACCCACAACCAGTTAGTACACTTTATATTAAATCGAAAACACGTTGCCACCACTTTCATTACCAACAATTGCATTACCCATCTCCGTGAAAACTGTATACGTCTTTCAATCGTTGCTGATCATCTACAGACAACATTGTCCACACGATGTCCCTGTGAGTCATACCAAATCCATTCCATGTTTTCCGTTCATGCTCCACTTCGTTAATGTCAACAACATATCGCTGCCCCAGCACAAGGACGTTACAAATTTTTGTAACCTGTCTCTCACACCCAACCATCTTGGGGTATTTGTAATCAGCCAACCGTAGCTCGCGCCTCAGCTTGTTCTTAACACGGCGAACCAAAGACGACACTGCAACAACATTACTCTGCAGACCCTCGGCTGCCCCCATAGTATTAGACAAATTTGCATTTTCATTCCCGTTCACGCCCCCTGCACAATTTATGAATGGGTGTATGGCCACTGCAGCTCGACAGCGTTGCGGGTCACTCACGCTATGAATTTCTGAGGGTGTTTTTTTCAACGGAGAATCAACCTCAACTGCGTCTCCTACCTCAATACACACTGCCCCCATTGGTATTGTGGACTTGTTTCTCAGTGTTTTGTTCACACTGCTACGTTCTGTCCAACTAACGTGGCTATCATTACAGCTGCCATACTTTTCTAATTGGTCTTCACTTGGTTACCTTTTGCTGGATTCAATATTTATAGTTGATTATGTCACTGCATGCGATTCATGGTCATCGACTTGGTCATGTAAGATTGCTACATTTTCATCCAATTGTGTGACCAATGTTCTCAATCGCTCTATCTCTGCATCTTTTGCAGTAATAACGTTCTCGAACCCAATGAACAAGTTAATAGTTTTCGTTTCAATTATACGTTCCATAACGTCCACCCGGGCTTCCAATTCATTAATCTGAATTGATTTCCTTCTGTTACCGTCTTCTAGCTCCTTTTTTTCAGTAAAGTGTTTCTCAGATCTGCTTTCAAACATTTGCCGTCCCCATCACCATCTGCTGCAGGTGTGCTTGACAATTCAAGAAGGTCAGGAAACAGGTTCGGCAAACCATCCTCCAGTGCAACCACCCTCTCACTGTGTTTTCCTTTTTGCTGCACCACTTTGCCAACTCCTTCAACACCCTGACGTGGGGGCTCACTATCAACATGACCACCGTTTGGCGAGTCTGGCTTCCAACAATCAAAGCTTGCCTCTGTATTTTCCAATTCAACAACAACATTGCCTATTTCATTCATTTGTTCCTCCATCTGCACCACAAACTTAGCGTTTTCATTTCGTATTAGAACTTGGTCATCATTTGGTACACTTAGAGCGTATCACTCAAGTATAGTCCCGCACAGTTTGTCATAGTTAACTCAGTGCATTATACGATGCAGATCAAACAAACACTGTTTCAAATTTTGTGGACAGGACAATAACAATTTCAAATTTTACCTGCAGCGATTCTGCTGATGTCAAGTCCAGCCCTTTGATCTTACATATGAGCGATCCAACGTTCCACTTACAAAATCTTGGGAAGGCAGCTTGGCGCTCTGGTTCTATGAGATTTGTGTGTTCACAAATCATAAACTGCAACACAAAATAATATGCAACATTAGTTGTATTATGAAAGACAATCATTGATTGGACAACTGATGCAAGCACAGGGTCAATGTGAACGGGATGTGTAATTAACATACCAACAGCCCAATGACGCAGCCGGTGACCTTCTCAGGGCTGATGTGAAAATCGTTCAGGGAATTAATGAGAGTGTTGCGTACGGTTGCTATCCAGTCATAGTTTCGCAACATATCTAGCCTGTCAATCACACAGACGAAAGACCAACCAATTGATTCTCTGGTGGTTGCAAAAAACAGCTTACCACAAATGTAGAGACATAGAAGCTTCGCTACGTCCTCCTCGTCACGTTCAGTTCTTCTCTTCAACGCGTCAAACAGCAAAACCTTTACGAGCTTGCACGATATTCATCCGACAATAGGGCACCTCCGTTGCATGAAATCTGATGTTGGTTTCAGTGATAAGGATACATCTAACTTGTCCTTGCCACATTGAATCCCAAAAATTAGTCGGATGTCGCTGCTTTGGAGCGCCAACCCATGCCCTCCAACGTAAAATTTTTCGTCTCTTGGATTACATGTTTGGATGATCCGACATATGGTTTTATCACACTTCTTGAATGTATTTGCTT